TCTCTCTCTCTCTCTCTATCCCTCCCCCTCTCTCCCCCCTCTCTCTCTCTCTCTCCTACTTCCTGTTTGGTCTGGTTTTGGGGGTTCTCTGCGGGTAGAATGAATGAGCCCAGTGTGTGGACTGAGTGGGGCTCACAGTATTCCAGGACTGAGCGGTGTTCACAAAACTCTAGGTCTAAGTGGGGCTCACAATACAGGACTGAAAAACGCTCACAGTACTCTGGGTAATAATAAGGCTCACAGTACTCCAGGACTGAGCAGGGTTCACAGTACTCAAGTCCGAACAGTGATCACATCACTCTAGGACTGAGCGGGGGCTCACAGCACTTCAAAGCTAAATGGACCTCACAGTACTCCAGAATGAGCTAGGATCACTGTACTCCAGAATGAGCTAGGATCACTGTACTCCAGAATGAGCTAGGATCACTGTACTCCAGAATGAGCTAGGATCACTGTACTCCAGAATGAGCTAGGATCACTGTACTCCAGAATGAGCTAGGATCACTGTACTCCAGAATGAGCTAGGATCACTGTACTCCAGAATGAGCTAGGATCACTGTACTCCAGGTCTGAGCGGGGCTCACAGTACTCTAGCACTGGAAGAATTTCCATCCATTATATTTTGACTTCCTTGGTTACTCCCTCCCCCACCATCAACATGCTAATGAGGTTCTCAAAGTAACTTCTTTCCACTTTCATTCCATACCTTTTACATCCAGTGATGTCATTACTAGGTCTGTGCTTCTCTATGCAATGCAGGCAGATCGTGGCTTGTAGGAGAGGCCAACAGAGTGCTGTACATAGCTTCCTGAAATCATCACAGCACCTTGCCTCAGTGCTCGTTACCGAATGCCACTTGTGCCGAAAGACGACTGCGGATGGCGCCGCACATCACAATGTACATCAGAAAGGTCGCCAGCACACCGTTGGCTTAACATGACAAAAAGAACAAAAAAAAGTTGTCATGTTAAGCCTGATGAAGTGGACCCTGCGTGGACCCCGAAACCAGGGCCGGATTTCCCAAAAGGCCACCAAGACCCGTCCTCGGGGCAGCAAGGGGCAGAGGGGCGGTAGGTGTGTGGACATTCAGTTCCGGGCGCCGGACGGGTAGTTGTTTTCTACATTTAGTCAGCAGAGCTGAATGTGCAGCGGGGAAGCCGCCGCTGGTTTTGCACAAGTGATCTCAGTGATGTCATCGAGAACATGTGTATGCAGCCTGCAGGTCGAAAAGTAAAAAAAAATAAGATAAATAAACATTTAAAAAAGTAAAAAAAATTAATAAAAATTCAAAAAAAAAGTGATAAAGTTCAAAAAATCAAAACTAACCCTGCCGCCGCCCCCCCCCGCCATCTGGTTGGCATTCTCCATTGGGGGCAGGAATGGCGGGGGGGGGGTCGCATTGAGGAACCTGGCCTTGGGGCAGCAGAGAGAGTAAATCCGGCCCTGCGGCTGAAACGTTGCATTTTTTATGCGACGATATGCGTGAAAAAAAGACGCTTTCATTTTGAACATTAACCACCGGTGTTCCAACTTGTTGCAACACAAATCCAGCACCGAAAATCCAGCGGCCTTACGTAGGGCTGCTCACCTCTCTCTGCGAGCCATCCTCTGATCTATCGCCATCCACCATCATCTGTGACCAACCTCAGATATTATTCACATTCTGTACATTCCCCACCAGTGAAAATGTATTTCCACATTCACTGTTCATTTGTAACTGCTACATGACGTTCACAAAGTAGCAAATTCTGAATTGCAACATATGACTGAATTCTTACAGATGGAGTTACAGTATGTTCACCTCAGGGCTGGAATCACAAGAATTCCAAACACGTCTCGCTCTTTGTTTGGTCATGTGGTCCCCGTCCGCTGGAGTCAGGAATCAGGTGTAACAAGGCCGCAGGAGATCCGCAGTGCAAAGAGTAAAAACAAGGATTTTATATAACCACTTTCTGTCCGGAGTCATTTCTTACATTTGCGCACACATGATGATCAAATCTGACATTTTGGCCCAGAAAACATCTTTAGACCCCCAAACAATGATATATTTTCTGAAAGCAGGGGCCCTGTAGAAAAAAAAAATGCTGGCTGTAATTTTTGATGTCGCACTGTATTTGCGCAAATGTTTTATTAAGTATTTTTAGGATAAAATACACTAAAATGAAATTAGTTCACAGGAACAGAATATGATGCCCAATTTTTTGGGGTAAAATATAAAAGACGGGGTCACGCCGGGTAAATAGACACGTCAAGCCTTAAAATTGCACACGCCCGTGAAATCGCAGAAAACGACCACACCCAAAATTGGCCACAGGCGACGCTTTAAAAGCTTTTACCACTCATCAGTTTAGTGCTAACATTGATTAATGGCTCTAGAATGATTGCTCTCACTTTGACGCTCTCGCGACGATATGTAACATGTGTGGCACAGTTTTTGTTTTTTGCATATGGGCACATCCGGACTGTGTTTGCGTTGTATGTGCGTGCACGTGGGGGGCGAGGGGACTTTAAAATCACATATTTTTTTATCTCTTTCTTTAATTTTAACAGGTTTGTTTTTTGTTTTTTTTACACTCAGCTTTATTGCTATCACAAAGGGGATAACAAGCCCCCTATGTGAGAGCAGATAGGTAAGGACCAATTTTATGGAGACATCAGGGGTCTTTCAGACCCCTGATGTCACCTAGGGAGCCCAAAGAAGCTGATGAAGCAGAGATCTGCTTCTTTTCCTGGCTTTAAGAGCCAGAGAATGTACACAGTGACACTGGAAGTGATGTAATGCACATCACTTCCGGGTCCAGTGATCAGAGAAGAGATCAGCAGCTGGAAGCCCACTGACCTCTCTCTGATCATTGTGGGGAGACCTGCCGTGCCAGTCCCAGGCCCGCACAGGGGACGGTGGAGCCCAGGGGAAGCCGGTGGCAGCAGAGGGGGGTGGGGACAGCACATTCCGCCGATCAGTACAAACGATCTGGTTGCTGTGTAGCCGGATCGCTTGTATCATAACAGCCATCGCCGGCTGTTTCAAATGACACCAAGAACAGGGCTGCAGCAGCAGCTGTTGTTCTTGGTATAACCACTTCTGCGGGCCGCTCTATATTTACGCATTGCGGTCTGGAAGTGGTTAAAAAAAAGCAAATATTTACTATACAAAGTGCGTTAGCAAACTAATGACATTCAGTTAGGGTTTGACTCTTTGCGCCATCCCTCAGGCTTTTATTTCAGGCGTTTCCTTTCATAGCTGGGTTCCACAGGTGTCCCGAACGCAGGTGTCACCAGTTAGGATGTCATTACGCACGCACACATATTTCCCGGCGGCCATCTTGGTGATGGACGCCGGCAAAGAGAGGAGGGGACGTTCATCCGGTGAAATAAGTTATGCCGCCGGGTCCCCTCCTCTCTTGTACAGCTGCCGGTCACTCAGTCCATGACCAAGTGCCTGACTTTTCAGAGCAGGTGACACCAAAATTATTGCCTGTCATTTTGGTGTCACCCCCTTTGATGGTGTCAGCCGGCGCGGGCTGCACCCACCTTGTGACGCTACTGCTGGGCTCCCCAATTATTTCTATCCTTCACACCATCATTTGACTTTGTAATGATTGCAGAAGCTCGCAGGGTGCGGGAACCCCCGAAATATCGGCCGTGTCGGTCAGCTCCCGGGAAGGACAGGTGCTGAGTGTGATTAGTACGCAGCCCCTGTCTTTCTCTATGGGACTACGTGGCCGTACGCCACCCTATGCTCACCTGCCCTGCAGGTCTGTGTGCGGGTCTCCATACTCGTACGCTGACAGGATGGATCCTGTCTTTGTCCGAGCCGGGACCCACACCCGTACGCACGTGCAGGAGGGTGAGCGTAGGGCGGTGTATGGCAGCGTAGTCCCATAGAGAAGGACAGGGGCTGCGTACTAATCACGCTCAGCACCTGTCCTTCCCGGGAGCTGCCCGATACGGCTGTGCACGCAGCATGGAGCAGTACGTGCCGAACGATTCTCGTGTGAATGAGGCCTAAAGCTGGCCGTACACTATGCAAATATTGGCCGCTTCTTGATGAACTTTAAAAATTGGCACAGAGGGCGGGTGAACAACCGAAATTCAAACAGTGGGTGCCGCTGTCGGCACCCTTTCAGCCGGCATCCCTTGATTAGCTGATTGAAGGCGCTGGTTGGAAAATCTTCGAGCGAACAGAACTGGCAGCCAGTCAGCGGGAGATTCCTTGATCAACACTCGTAAGTGCTGATGGAGGAATCTTTTTCCAGCAGGTTGAATGAAGAACATATTACAGTGTGTGGCCAGGATCAGATTGTATGATCTCGCACGCAGACCCCTTTGCAGTAAATGTACCGTCTCCCTTTATTATTTAAGGTGCCAACGCCACATAAATCCAGTATTACATTGACGATAATAGGAGAGACATAGCAAGCCAGAGTGGGATTCAGCTTGCCAACCAACATGCAAAACTGAAATATCTCTTTTCGGAAGAGTTGACCTTTAAAGGACCCATGGGGCCTTGTAAAACGGATGCAATGGATCCCTATATGGATCTCCAAAAAGCAGAGCGGAAATCCCCGCCTGTGGCTAAGGAAGAGTTAAACAAAGACTTAGCTGGGCGGGACTCCATCACCAGTCAAATACAAAACACCACTGTTAACTCTTGCCGCTCCGGCGCGCTTTGCCGGAGCGAACTCTGGCTCCGGCAGGACTACAAGTCCCAGCTGGGCAGGGGCCGGCTCAGGTGTGGTTCAACAACAGCTGGAGAGACACAATCTGCAAAGGAAACTCAGAAGTTCAAGTTGGCAACAGCAGCATTAGGTCCCCTCCGGCAGTGAAGGGGTAAAGTGAGAGTGGAGGGGTGCGGGGTTGATTGCTCCTGGCCAATAGGAAGACAGCAGTGATAATGCTGAAGCTGGATGATGATCTCCATAAATAGAGCAGTCATCAGAAGGTTGTACCAGCAGCTGCAGCCGGTGGGAGGGGCTGGGCAGACCAGGTGCCAAGTTTTTAAAGAAAGAGCTGTGGAGTTGGTCTGTGAGAGCTGCTGGGAGCCACAGGGGAAGAATGCAACTCTGATGGTAAATGCACATAAGCCATTGTGAGGGGAGTGCAATGTTTCCAAGGGGGGCTCACACTGCATTCCCTGCTTGCATACCTCTCACCTTTAGAAGTAAATGTATATCTCTAATCATCAGGTTTCAGTGCAGGGTGGAAGTTGTGCTGGGTGTGTCACTGGTGTGGGTTACATTGTTGCAACTTTGACATCATTGCTTACTTGTAGTGCAGGGTGGAAGTTGTGGGATACTTTTGTTGCACTTTTCAAATGTTTACTTGTAGTGCAGGATGGATGTTGTTACTTTTTTAATGTTAACTTCTAGTGCAGATTGAGTTGTGTTGTGCGATACTTTTGTTGCATTTCATATTGTTTTATATACAGTGCAGGGTGGAAGTTGTGATGGGTGTGTCAGCGGTGTGGGTTACACTGTTACAACTTTTAAATAACTGTTGACTTGTAGTGCAGGGTGGAAGTTATTATGTATGAGATACTTTGTTGCACTTCTAATCATTTTGTTTGTATACAGTGCAGGGTGGAAAATGTATTAAGGGATACGTTGCACTTTTATATGTTTTACTTCTAGTTTTTACTGTTGACTTGTAGTGCAGGGTGGATGTTGTGTTGTGAGATATTTTGTTGCACTTATTGTTTTGATACAGTACAGGGTGGACAATATTTTGGGTGTGTCAGTGTTATGGGATACTTTGTTGCATTACTTAAATGTGTTTACTTACAAACTGGCAAACACAACTTCCTATTTCTGGGAACACTTTTTTGTTTGTTTTGAGGTATTTCTTTATTGTTTGAGCCCTAAGCCCGTTCTTTCAGCCACCTCACGCTGACAATGTTGTTGCAATGAATTGTCACTGCTATTTGTTCTCAGTGTTTTAATGTTAGGGGAACATTTAATTTTCAGACAATGAGTGATCTGTGTAGCAAAGTTTCCCAGTGACTTGTAGCTCAGTTATTGGGGAGTTGCCTTTATGCACATGGCTGATGACTCTCTGGGTCCATAGGGTCTCCTGATATCCAAAGCAGTTGATGGTGATTGTGGCACATCAGTAAGTTGTGGCTTCTGATGGGTCACCATGGCACACCTGTGATTTATACCTGTCTAGGGATGTATTGTAGTGGTCTAGTGATGTGCTGCAATCAGTAGCTCTCTCTCTCTGTACATATCCTGAAGAGATCTGTAACTGCAACAAAGTTGTTAGTCACATGGCTTCTAGGATGTTAATCAAGAACTAGTAGACCTGATGGTATAGGAAGTCTGTCTGCTGACCCCGCTTCCTGCTGTTTGGGGTCTCCCTGCTTAGACCCCCACTTTGTCTGGTGCTGTTTTATTCGAGACTCTGTATAACATAGAGTGCTAAATGGCTCCCTTCGGTGTAACCCAGTTGTGGAAGTCTGTTCCTGTTTTATTAAGGATGGGCTGCGCCATGCTGATAAGGTCTGGCCTCAAAATGTCTGTTGCAAAGCAGAGGGATTGGTAGCCTAGGAACCATGGCTAAGACTGCTCATCAGTGGGGGTATGTGGAAAGACTTTCCACTTTCTGAAAGAATCTTGAATGCAAAGAGTAACTTTTTTTTTTTTTTTTAGAACAGTTCAGAATCCATGCTCTGAGGTGTGGTTTGTAGTCCAATGAGTCAGACTTTCCCACCACCATGACTCAGATCTGTCTCCTTGGAAATGACTAAAACATTGGTAACTGAAATACTAGAGCAACAGCATAGTAACTTCAAACACCTTCAAAGATCTGTACCTTCCCGGAGCAAAGAGGCTCACGTGTCCCTAGAAGGGGGGGTGACTAATGCTAACGCTAACCTGTGGTGAAACTACTAATCTTAACCATCTCCCTCTGGGGGCCATGCCTGTGGCTGTCAGTCTTGCAAATTCCTCATAGGATTTGTAGTTGCACCACAACTAGAGGGATTGGGCTTGCCTACCCATCCCCTAGAACAGGGGGTGTCAAACTCAATTTCATTGGAGGCCACATCAGCATTATAGTTGCCCTTAAAGGGCCAGTTGTATCTGTAAGACTATATAAATGTATCTACTCTTTATCCTATTAAATAATGGTCTCTGCATTCGATTAATTGTATTAATAATAACTTAATGGCTTTTAAAGCAGAAGTCTAGGAAAAATAATGTCAATTGGTGTAATAGTGCGGACTCTCTGGTGGGCTGTGTGGTCTCACCTGGGGTCCCAGTCAGTCTCAGCAGGTGGCATGGATCCACAGGAAGGAGGATTCACAGGAAGACTGCTGGGACCTTGCTGGGGACCAGCCTTCCTGTGAAGCCTGGCACCTGTTTACAGTGGTGACTTCGATTTAAAAATTAAGCGCCTGTATGGGCTCTTGGTATCGGAGCGTTTTCATGAGTTGCCCATTATCGGCACTGATACTGCGGTATTGGTGCATCACTAGTCAGTATATCCAAAGTGTTCTGTCCTCATCTCTGCTGCCGACTACTGAGACAAGGTTGGGATGTAGATGAGGGTGCCACAGCTGTAGGAGAGCCGTGAGGGCCAGGTGGAAGGCTTAGCGGGCCTTGTGTTTGACACATGTGCCCTAGAAGATCATGGATCCCATAGGCCAGGGATGGCCAAACTGCAGCCCTCCAGCTGTGGTGGAACTATGAATCCCATGAGGCTTTGCAAGATTCTCAGACATGACTCCCGGAGAGAGATGCTTCATGGGACTTGTAGTTTCACCACAGCTGGAGGGCCGGAGTTTGGCCAACCCTGCCCTACGCAGTGTTTAAACCTGTGTCCATCTTCAAAAATTATTCCCACGCCCTTATTTCTGGAAGGTGTTGAAACTGGGAAATATATATTTTGGTCCTATCAGGTATTTCCTGGTGTATATAGTTTTCAAATGTCTGTTACCACACATGCCTGCCAACTTTTGGAGGTGAGAAAGAGGGACACCTAAGACAATGGGGGGAATTTATCAAAACTGGAGCAAACAAAATGTGGAGCAAACTTGCAGTGTAGCCAATCAGCTTCTCTGTCTCATTTTCAAATGTTACCTGAGCACACTGAAAAGAGATGCTGATTGGTTGCCATGGACAACTGCTCCAGATTCTGTTTGCTCCAGTTTTGATAAATTCCCCCCAATGTGTTTAGGTAATGGACACACCCCTGCCGCAACTCCATTTACCATTAAACCCAGTTGCCAATTCAGAATTTGTATATAAAAAAAATGATTGATAAATCCTAGATTGGTTTTCCACAATTAAATTTTATTTTACTGGCTTTATAACATGGCAATCGGGATAATTGAGGGACGGGATGAAGGTTTTAGTGCAGAACACCACTTGTGGCAGCTTAAAGGAGAACTATGGGGTTAAGTATGTTCCTTAACCTCACCCTAGGCTCAGTATACCGCGAGCTACAGCTCGCGGTATACTAGGACGCTGAAGCGGATCTCGACAATTGTGCCGGGATCTGCCCAGCTGCGTGACTGGCAGCTGGCTCTGCCTATCTAGAGGCAGAGCCAGCTGTACCTGCCCCCTACCCCGTCCGTTCCGCCAGTCAGCGCTGGAGGATCGGGGAGGGGGGAATCCAGCCCCTCCCCTGTCACGGCAGAGAGCCTTGACAGGATCGAGAGGTGAGCGAACGCCGGTATGTGTTCCCTCACCTCCCGATCTACTGAGCCGACCTGTGACAGTCTCATTGTCACAGGTCGGCTAGAACTATGAGGTGAGTGAAAAGCACTCGCCTCATAGTTCTCCTTTTTACATAGATCATTTTCATAGAGATCAGTAAAGGTGGCCATACACTCTACAACCATCGCAAGACTTTAGTCTTGCGATGGTTGTAAAGGGATTAAAAAAACGTACGATCTGCCTATCTTGGACAGGCAGATCGCACTCTCGCTCATCGCAAGCCCGCCCTCCTGAGGGGCGGGCTTCCGATGACCGCAATGCTGAACGGGCAGTGTGCGCGTGCGCACACCGGCCCGTTCAGCATTTATCTTCCGAGCACCGTTCTAACCAGCCGAAAATCGTACGATTCCCGGCTGGTTTTCGAACATGCTGGTTCGACAGAAGACGTGCGACCGTACAGTAGAAACGGTCGCACGTCTCCGTTCACACTGCTCGATTATCGTACGAAAACCCGATCGCATACGATTATCGTACGATAATCGTGCAGTGTATGGGCACCTTTAATCAGACCAAAAAGAGGAACAACGGAGTAGGACAGATTTGGTTCCAAATGAGGGACAGTTGGGAGGTATCTACACATTATGGCTGACTATTCATCTTTGACACACAGCAGCTTGTTCTTTTCTTTGTGCTGGCAGTAATCTGCTATCCTTTTTTCGGTTTGAGGATCAGGTACATTTTCCTCATTGAAGTTTGGCATGTAGATTGTGTTGGGACATGTTGGCCAATGCAACAACATGTTGCATCCACTCATACCCTACTTGCAAATAAAGCGTCTCCATAGATGCAGGAAATGTGCATGACCTTGGTAGTCATTTCAGGCTAAACCTGGATGACCATTGCTAGCTTGTCATGTTGCTTAATGTTTTTTTAGGACAGGAAGTCAGTGATGTGGAGGGAAATGTGTCATCACAGTGATGGCTTTTCTCAGTCTGTAATAGGAACTCCTGACACTGGTACGCAATATACTATATATGCCTGATGTCAGTGTACCCAAAGATGGTCTTTAATTCCTTCCTTCTGGAGGGTGGCTACTTTTGTTCCCCATGGTCCATGTGTGTGTTGTAAAGTAGTCACCGCTCCAAGCGCTCTCCCGGGATGGACTACCGAAATTAAGATAGGGGCTACTGGCCCCCCACTGAGACTAGTCTTGATAGTGATATTTACATTTGAATAAGCAGTGACTTTCTCCCCAAAAAATGTCCGCGCGCCGCGAGTGTTCAGGTTTCACTTGAAGAAAAGGTGGCAACCCTAATTTACAGCCGAGTGACGAACAAACAATATTTTCCCCAATGGTTGGGGTACTTTCATTCCGTAAGATTTCACGCCTGAGTTTAGTGTCCCTCTCATTG